TGGGAGAAGATGAGGCTGTCTCCTCCTGTAAAGATTCATAGTCTTGGAAAGCCTATAGGGAAATTCTACTTTGATCTATCTGGTGTTGCTATGAGTTGAAATCAACTCAACGGCAGTGAGTTTGGTTTGGCTTCAGTTACTGAAGTCACCCTGTGGATCACAATAGTATGACCTGCAACTGGTCATGGGAGAGTGCTGAACCTAAAAACATTTTATTACACTGGAATCCAGGACAAGTAACAACTAACAACAGGATGGCAAGGAGCTAACTCACAGAGACGAGTCTATATCATTATCATCGTGAAACATACAGATAACAAACTCCTTTAATATCCCAAGCCCTGTCCTGGAATCCATAGTATACTAGGGAATACAAACACAGCATGCTATCGTTGCAATACAAAGTGAAAAAAGTTGTGTGAAATATGAAAAAAAAATAAATAAAAGAGAAATCTGTACTGTCTGGGTAATTATGAAGTAAATCTGAAAATGGAAAACAAGTAAACAAAGCTCAATTATATTTGATTATTAAATTTGAAAGATGACAGCGGAGCTTGAGAAGCATTTTGAGGTGTTTATGTTTCATATAATTAGAAATATAGACTTGAGATATTAAACCTGGTGAAAAGTATAATTGAGAGAGAGCGGGCTATGAAGTCGAAGAGAGTGCAGTCTCAAGGCTACATCTAGCTTTATTCACGTGATCTTGAGTGATTAATACACACACGGTGCCCTGCTCCTGCACCAATGGGGTCCTGGTGTGGTGCTGTAGGATAAGCACTTGACTGCTAACAGCCAGGTTGGTGGTTCAAACTTACCAGCTGCTCCTCAGGAACCCTGTACAGGTTGGCTATGCATCATGTCAGCACTTAACAATAGCAACGTAACAACCCCTACGAACATTTGTACTCTGTTATATTATTAGACATTTCAAACACTGGAGACCTGCAACACAAGTATGTGTCATCATAAAGTGGTGATTTAAAAAACATTGCTTTACTAAAATGATGTAGAGCTTCCAAATGTCATTACCCAATATTTTAAACAAATCACTATCTATCTCATCAAGGGGGGGCGGGGGGAATAGATAGTAGAAAACTATTAAACTTGTGGTAGAAGATTCAAGTTTTTTTTTAAAATTCAATACCCCCCACTCCCTTGGAAGCTTGAATTTTAATCTCAGCAACACACAGTATCAAAGCTTGTCCTTTGAAGTGAAAAACCTACCTTGTTCTTTTTCACAAAAATATCTGCAAGTACCCAAGTTTCATAGCTATTCTCTGCCAGTTGTTCTTTCAAGCAAAAATGGTGACCCCCGTGGATAAAGTGTTTTGTAACACCCGCAACCTCACATCTCTCCCAAGTACGTGGGCACACGGTAGAAGAATCAAATCTGTACATCCCACACTTCGCAAAGCACAGTCAAGGGATGGCTATTCAGTATCAAGACTCAGCACAAACAAGGTTTGTTTGCTTCATCGAGGACATGTTTAAGTAATAGTAACTCCTTCCTTTTTTCTTACTGTGAGTATGTGGCAGTGAATTCAATACTCCCCAGGACACTGGGTTGCCAGAACCTGGATTCTAATGAAGGGATCAGCATTTTCATCTTCCAAAGATTTTACAAGATCAGTGCCAATGTCAACAAAGAAAAAAAAAAGACCACTGTCATATAATTATGACAATACTTTGTTATCACAGTCTCCAACATGGGCCATGATTTTTTTTTAAGGTTTTTATTGTGAATTGAGTGATAGTTTACATGGCAGAACACTGGTTTTACACTCATCATTTTATTGCAATGATTACAATCCCTTCCATGTATCATCCTTCAACAGTATTTTCTTCTATTACCTCTGGTTTTGGTGGGTTTTTTTTTTTTGATGTACACAAAAATACTCAAGACTCATTTAAACAACCAAAGGGCAAATTCTGCAAGACTGCCTTCTGGCTGCCAGCACACAGTCTTTCTCTTTCCATGAGTCTAGAATTCTCATCTGCTCTATCTCTCCATGTCCTCATCTCTGCCTCCATCTCTGGTGTCACTGCTTCTCTTGATAAGGTCCTGCATTCTGCTCATGCTCTTCTCCTTTGATGGTCCTAGGGCCCTCTGTTCCTGGAATGTAAGTTGAACTACTCCCTCATTTTTTTTATACAACTTCTACCTTTACAGTTGTGACTATTGCAATTAGGTATGATAACAGTTACTCACTATTGAATCAAATGAATCCTATCCCCATTTCATTTCATCAGACCACACTAGACAAGAGAAAAACTATTCAGTGGGGATTCTAGCTTTCCGTGAACACTCTGAAACTAAACTCCCTTTTGAAAACTTGTAAGCCAGTCACTTTGTGCCTTTATTGTCCCTCCCACCTCCCTTTTAGGTAGCCAGTGTCTAAGTTCCCCATCCCTATCAACCCTGTGTACAGAGGAGATAGGTTTGATCCTTGATGTGAAGACTCCTTCCCTCTCAGTTGGTATTTTGAGCTACTACATCCATAAGTATAGGTGAAGTTCATAAAATTGTAGCAATTTACACTTGTTTCATATATATATATGTAATTTTTTTTTTAAATCTTCCTCTAGTCAAGTTCTGATCATCAAGCCATTGAAGCTAGGTCAAATGGGTACTATCAAAGGGCCATGTTTTGATTTTGCTTATTTCCATAAGAAAAACAAAACACAACAACAACAAAAACTTCAGTAAAGCAGATCCCTATAAAAAAGAAAGAAGAAATATAATTAAATTAGTAAAAAGGCTAATCTCATTAAAACATTAGCAAAAGACTGGATATGTTTTTAAAATGATAACAATAATTGTTTTTTAACCTATCTAACAGTGTTTCTTTTATATGTAGAAAATATATACTTGCAAAAAAAGAAAAATAGCAAAAATTAAAATAATAAACCCATTCCCACCTGGAGATAAATCCTGTTAATATTTTAGTGAACATCCTCCTTTTCTTTCTTTCTGTGCAGAAATGCTGTTTTGCAATCTGCCTTTTTTACTTAACATTGTCTCATGAACATTTTTTCATGTCATTAAATATTGATGTCCAACATCACTCTAAATTATTCAGGTCCCCTTCTGACAGGACATCGCATTCTGGCTGTATTGCAATGCATTTGATTGCTTGGTGAGACGATTTGGAGAGCCGATGGCTGAACCCTTCAGGAATGCCTCCTCTTGGAAGTGGTATGGAGTGATGAAGATGACATCCTGAATCTGTGCAGCTTTTTCAGTATCTGCTTTCTTACTGGCACACCAGTGGCAGCCCATGCCTTTGTCTCTCCCCTCTGTATTTTCTACATGCATGTTATTATTGTGTACAATTCCTATAGCCACCCTTAGGCCCTTTTATAGCTACTGGGCTTTGCCAGACCTCCTCATGTCTGTCTGTCAAATTTTCCCTCCTAATATCTATTTTTTCCGTGGTAGCCCATATGGTCGGTCTCCTGCTAATGCAGATGTGGCCCTGTGGGTTAATGTGCTGGACTGCAAGGTTGGTTTGAAAGCAAAGTTGGCAGTCCAATCTCACCATTTGCTCCTCCAAAACACTACACAGGGTCACTATGTGTCGGAACCAACTCAATGGTACTTAATAACAACAACAACAAGTGCTGTTTTATGGAGTACTGATTGGCATTGTTCACACCGGACTGTGAACCACAAAGCCGGCAGTTCAACCTTACTAGCTACTCCTCAGAAATCTTAAGCAAGGCTGCTGAGTCTGATTCAATTGCACTTTAACAACAACAATACTATTTAGTTCTTTCCTACTTACCACCCTTTGAATATCAAGTTCACTGTGAGTCCTTCTAACTCCAATAACAAATCTGATACTTCATTATACACATAAGACTTTACCAACTGTCCCCAACTGTGACGTTAATTTAATTATTAATGCCCACGTACAATTCTGTGCTCACCAGTCTGCTGATGGGTCATAAAACACACACACTTTACCAGATTGTATTTCAAACATCTCTATAATAATTTTTCCAGATCTGCATGCCCTTTCAGAGCCTTCACACATTTGCACTGAAAAAAGGAGTCCACTTTCCCACCCCTGGAAGCTGGACAGGATTTTGAGACTACCTTGAAGAATAGAATGTGGCAGAGGTGACCTTGCATCATTTCTAAGACTGGATTCCAGAAGGAAACTCAGTTTGGGCTAGGCTTTTTTTCTTGGGAGGTACATCTTTGGAGTCCTGGGCCAACATCAAACATGCGTGGCTACCTGGAAGCAGCAAGGCAAGAAAGACTTTACAGAAAGACTCCATAGAGGTAAAGAAGCAATGAAAAGCCCAAGGAGACCCAGCTATGCCAGTTCCACCTGCTTGAGTCTTCCCAGCGCATATCTGGGAGTAATCGAGCTTCCTAAGGATTCAGTCCTAGCCCTCAAGCTGATCTAACTGCTCCTGGGCAGAACAGAAAGAAACCGACCTTGCTGAGCCTTTCCCTAGTAACAGATCCATGAGCAAAATGAATGGTTTTGTTTTCATCAGTGTATTTTGGGATATTTTACATAGTATTGAATAACCAGAACACACAGCTTACTCCTTCTTGTCATTACCCCACAGCAAATAACCATTACCATACTTTTAGTAACCCTGTCACAAGCAACCTTTAATATCCAAGTCATCCATTCACATAGAAGCCAATCAAGAACTTGTTCATCTATTCTAGCCACTCTACATGTCTTTAACACTTGTTATCATCGTCGTTGTTTCTAGTTGCCCTCAAGTTTGCTCTGAATCATGACACCCTTATGTATAACAGAAAAAAATGTTGCCCACTCCTACATCATCTTCCTGATTGTTGCCATGTTTGAGTCCGTTGTTGGGTTATTGTGTCAGCCCATCACATTGAGGGTTTTTCTTGTTTTTGTTGAACCTCTGCTCCACCCACCAGGATGTCCTTCACTAGAGATTGTCCTTTCCTGATGAAACGACCCAGTAAGCAGGTTGGAACTTCACCATCCTTATTTATGTATTTAAGCACTTCTGACGACATCTTCCAGATCTGTCCCATTCAGCTTCTCCCCAAACATCGTAAGGAACATGATGAAATTGATGGGACCTGGAGCCTCATTCATCATGTCATCCAGGTATGAATCAGTTGGATTCTTCCCAAGAGAAGCAAGCATATCATGAAGATCTTTCTTGTCAATGAAGCCATCTCTATTCTGATCAATCATGTTGAAGGCCTCTTTGAACTCCTGAATCTGTGACTGGTCAAACATGGCAGACACATTTGATGTTGCACCCTGAGGGTGCTTCTTGGTGGTCTTGGTCTTTGCCTTTTTGCTCGACATGGTGGCTATTTAATTAACCTCCAGACACCAGAACTGGGCTGCCCTGCATAAGGCAACAAGTCAGGTTCCACATTTTTAAAAAAGGAATCTGCCTAACTCTCCCCAGTATGATGGATGATTGGTTGGGTGAAGCCTTAAGCAGCACAGACTTGGCCCAGATATGGTGGTGGATGCAGAGAGACAACAGAGGAATCTCCATTGATAATGCTCCTGCCTGAGGAATCTGAGTGGCACGTTTCCACAGATGCCAAATCTAATTTACTTTGGAAAGTGTCATTCTGGTAACTCTGTGGAGGGTTGGATCTAGGAACAAGGGGATGAACAAGAATATCAGTTAGGTAATTACCACTAATAATACAGCTTACAGCTACTAATGACAGTCCTGGTGTAGGAGTTGGCAAGAAGAGCTCAGATTTTAGCTCTCTTTTGAACATGAGACCAACAGAATTTTCTGATGTAAATTTGGTGTATGGGATAGATGTTAGGGATAACTCAGGTGTTCAGCCTAAGCTGCTTAGACTCAGTAACAAAATGAGAAATCTAAGGTTCTTACATAGTTAAAAGAAAGGATAAGGAAGATGGGAAGGAAATGGGTATGGAATTCAGTCTTTGTTCATAAGCAGGTGAGATTCAAAAGGTGGGAGACAAAATACTCCCTAAAGAATAACACAGTTTTTAAGAAATGATATAGGAAAATTAAAGGTTAACATGGATGTGAATGAACAAGACCCAGGGGAGTAAGGAGATTGGCAATTAACTGATAGACCTTTATCATAGAGCACGCTGATGTTTTTCATTGTCTGGGTCAACATGGCAATGTTATATGGATGTGTGATATGGCACTTAATTGGCAGTTGAAATCAAACTTAACATTGAAGTCCTTCATGAAAATGAATCCTAAGCAACTCAGACATTTTCTATTAGAAAGGGTCCTTAGGGATTCTGACTCTGTTCCTCTCAGCACATGGGTGGGGGAATTGAGGCCAGGAAGGGGCAGATCAGAGTAAATTCACAAAGTTTCAAGAATCTTAGTGAGGCCGCTAGTCTGAAGGTTTATTTTATACTATCTCCTAACTTCTGAATTTAAGGCAGGCCTCCCAATCTTCATGTACTCCACTCATCAGAACACCACTGAGAGAGAAATCAGTCTTTTAGGACCTGAGTTCCTCTGGTTACACACACACACACACACACACACACACAGAGAAAGAGAGAGAGACAGAGAGAGAGACAGAGAGAGAGAGAGAGAGAGAGGTTTTTATCAGGATGAGCATAGCCTTAAAGGATTTTCAAGTTAACAGAGCAGAAACAGGCAAATGGTTTATATTGCAACCATATTCTCTCTTCCTATCAACCCCCGGTTCCAGTTCTGAATCACTGGGGCACCAGAGTCTGACTCTTTTAATTTCCACATTCAAATTCTACTATGCTCAGTGTCCTCTTTACATACCACCATCTCCAAAGGACCCTCCTGAATTTTAACAAGAGAAGAAAGTCTATATTTTTTCTATGAACCTGTAAGATTGTTCTGGTATTTTACTTTTTGTTGTTAAGTGCCATTGAGTCCATTCTGACTCTTAGAAATCCTGTATAGGGTTTCCAAAGAGCAGTTGGTGAGTCTGAACTGCTGACCTTGTAGTTTAAACAAACCTGTGGTCCAGTGCTTATGAAGTCAAGCTTGCAATGGAATTGGTTAATATCATTACCATGCCCTCTTCCAGGGTCTTCTTTGCTGCTTTGACAAACAGCTTCACAATCTTCATGATGTATATTAATATTTATTTATCAGTCGTGCTACATTTATGCTGGAGGTTGACTCTACTCCAGGTTGTAACTGTGAGATGGAGCTCTATCAACTGGTCTTCTCATTCTGGGACACATTTGATGGATTGGCACCAATCTAGGACCTTGTATCATCATGGAATAGGGCGAAGAAATGGCAGAAGAAACTGGCAATAACTTTAAAAGTTTAGGTCTATCCCTTCTATATACAGGGTAGATAGGTACAGGCAGTTTAGATACTGGCTACCTAAAATCAGGGAGCAATAAAGGCACAAAGTGACTAGCTTAAAAGATTTCAAGAAGGAGTTCAGTTTCAGAGTGTGCAGGGGAAGGTACAGTCCCCACTGAATAGTTTTCATATTGTCTAGATGGGTCTGGTGAAAAGAGATGGTGGCTAGGGTGGAGGTGCAGTGAAGTTTGCAGTCAGCAATACCACAGAATACCAGGAAAAGCAGATCCAGGGCAGAGTTCCAAAACTGAGAACCACATAGGTACAGATATTTAAAACATTTGAAGGCTTATAGCTAGTGGAACTTGAAGTGGAAGTAAGAAATCATGTACTTTTGAATCTGCTGGGCTCCAGGGACAACTTGGGTGAGACTAAATGGAAGAACAAGTTGGAGAGCAGGTACACCATGGAAAAATGCTGCGGGAACCTCGGCGCAAAGGTGGACAATACACTTTGTTGGTTTTGCTTTGTTCTGATTTTCTTTTCTTTTCTTTTTTTTCTTGGTATCTGTTCATTGGTACCCCCACTGTTTGTGCACCTCCATTCTGGTGAC